CAGTCAGTAATCAACAATCCTCTGGTCACCTGAACTACAAGGATGAACACACCGAGGGATAGCAACAACAGCCACCACTGCTCTTATGTAATGACAATCAGTCTCATCCATCAAGAGCCAAGTGAGAATGCAGAGAAGGAGGTTACAGTTTTACAGTGAAGTTGTACGAACAGTGTATATCAGGAGAAGAAGGACGAAAATCAGAACAAGTGATTCTGTGAATAGTGCCATTTCAACGAATTCTTCATCAAGCTCTCCAAACCTATATATATTTATGTATGGCTTTTAATGTTAATGTGAACTCTCACGAACATAATTGGCCATTCACTCTAAAGTGTAGTCAATGAAATGTGTAAATCTCAAGAGAGTGTAGGATGACTGTAAGATCAGTGAGCAATGAGCACATCGATCATCGAAGTGATAATTGTGATATGATAACATCGGAGAATATATATTTAGTTAAATAAATACAGGTGGCAAGTGAGATAATACCGGAAATTGTTCAGAGTAAAATTGTTCATTATAGAGATAACAATAGATATAATATGGGAAGGATATACAAACCGGATAGAGGAAGAAAGCGAAGAATTATTGGCGCCAGAGAGTGGATGACAATTTTCACACTTCGTTGAGAAGAGACTCCTCACTGACTCACTTTTCTCACAGGAAGCGAGCATTGTATGGAGAACTGCTATCGGTAATAGACAAAACGCCAAATGGTGACATTGAAATCCCAACGGGAGATATGAGTACCGGCTGAACTGGGAGCAAGCAACAATGGAGGCAGAGAACGCTTGACAGGTCAGGAGGATTTCGGAGAAATGAATCAGTGCAGTTAACGTCTCTCAGACTTCAGTGCCTCCAGTGATTTGGTGATTGGAGATGGCGTGCACAAACACCACGACGTACATGAAGTGACATGGCTTTCAGTTGACGGACACATTAAAACTCAGTTGGACGTCGTCTCAGTGTCTCCCAAGGAATCGAAGAGGCAGTCTGCTGGCCAAAGAACTGAGACAGATGTGAGCTCACACCACTGTTGAGTGCAAGGAACGCCAATAGTTCCTGCTTCTGTGAACGAATGATTAAGATGTTGCTACAGATGTGGCCCCTGAAGCTTTGGTAGTAGTTCGTAGCAGCTAGACTTAACACAAATGGATACAATGTGAAAATATTTGTGCGATATAGTTCACCCGGTCAGAAGACAAGGTTTCCGAAACGGATAATGCAAAAATAGGTACATTCCGCTTAGAGAGGAGAATCCACGTCGTGATCAAGCAACGAACTAAAAGAGAATCGAGAACCCACACCACTATTGCGTAAACTTTGTAAGGAAGCAAGGAAACATACTGAAAGGTAAGAAAGAAAGGCACCTACTGATTGGAATGGGAAGTTCCTTCTCAGACTACCAGAGAAGGGCGACTCAACCACTTTTCAATGGAACTGGTCCGGAATCATTCTCCTGTCCACCCCGAACAAATCTTAGTGCAAAATTATTGACAATTGGACTACTTCCGATCTACCATTTTGATTGATCTATATAGGTGAACTAACTCACAGTCTTTGCACGGTATTTTGCAGATTATATTGTTTTGTCTAATTGAATCAACTGACAGTGTCCATTAAGCTACAGAGCTTATCCTACCGTAGTGAGTTTGCAAGTTTAAATGCCACTCTAACTACTGCTTCTTTAAGAATCTCACGTAGGGTTTCAGATGTCCCCTCCTTATATGGAATAACAGTAGAAGCTTTATATTCTCCCGGTTATTTTTATTTTGCTTTTGGCCTTTTCTGGTCTTCCTAATGAATTTTATACGATGGTTATTTGGTACCAACCAGCTATTCTTCTTTTAGTTTGAATTCATCATATAGGTTTCATTGTTGTTCTAATTAGGGATGTCGTCGCCCGGTTTCTTAGACTCTTAACTAAAACCGCCTACACAGATATCGTATGAGATGAAACGAAGTCGAAATATCTATTAGAATGCGTTGGTTATTTATTAACGCCAGTGTGCAGTTGGCCTTCTTCCGTCCGTTTCATTTTCGAATCTACTATAGCCAATTGTCCTTGTTCATTTTCCCATTCCAATGTGAATTTTATTCCATTTACTAGTGAATCTATATGTGTGAAGAAGCTAGAGACATGTTCTGTGTCTTAACACTGTGAAAGTGTCAGCCACATATTCCAGCCATATATTTAGTGCAGGATTATATGTATCAAGAGGGATATTTTCCCATTTGTCCATAAAGAAATATGTCTGTTTATATTATTTTGACTTAGAATTTGAAGATTGTAGAAGTGATGTAGCGTGATTGAATTTCTAAAATAATTTCCTCAATGCACAGCTCTGTCCTTCGAGTAGGTTGGAGATCAGCAGCTAGTTCCCTACCGACTGCTTCTAAATTCAATTTGATTTTTATATTAGTGCAAAGAGTAGTTATATCAAAACTAACCATTTCCCGTTGTTCTCTAATTGAATGTAACTTAGTTTCCGTCTGATTTCATACGCATTAGTTAGCCTAGCATTTGAACGACTTCTAATGGGACATCATATTAGAGCTAGGTATTTCGATGAATTGTGCCCGAAACGTCATCCGTAAATCTTAATGTTTAACAGTGTGAAACTTAATCAAAATACAATTTATCTACGATGGAATAATGCTGTACCACAGTGCACACGTTCTAATCTCATATCAAGGAGTCTACTCAAAATTTACTAGATTAGACTTTCGACGAGAACACACACATATTAAACACAGACGAGACGAAATCAAAGTGTGAGTGAAAGTCACTTCAATTCTCCTTCAAATTGACAGTCAGCCTACTGTCATGGTAATCAGTAGCATCACGACAATTCACGGAACCAGCTGGTGCACTTCTCATTCCGATTGTTATCATAGTGGATTTTGCTGACAGTGTGACATGATCGTCACCGGCTGACAAATTACGCCATATGATGACGCATACTTCGTTGGATAGTATGCATGACATATTTAGACAGATTTCATGTGCACGATGTCTGATTGTCCACACTGAAATTGAGTCAGTGAAGTTTGTTAAAATTTGTCTACCCTTTCACTGAACATAATCCATTATTACTTAATTTTATGCACTAATCTGTGACTTATTGTTCACTATGTGTCAGTCTATAATTTTCACTTGATATCTGTGTGCTTGTTGGCTTGATAGTGTATGTCGTCATTTCGATGTGTTTGTTGTTCTGCATCGACTGCTTGAAATGCGTTCGTACAATGCGTCCAGTGATCATGTTGTTCGTATTCATTGAAACTAGACAGTGTAATTCGATTCAGTAATGTTCGAATGCTTTCTGTGCAATTCTGTCAGTCACACGAATCATAGACGGATTCCGGTTTTCGAAAACAACTGAGAGACGATCAGCCTTCAATTGTTCAATCGCTCAATTTGACTATTTCGATACAACCAGGGTAAAACTGATGATTAAATAGACTAAAGCTTACGATTCCTAATTTGTGAGTTCACTGTCTCTGTAGGGGTCTATTCGCTGTAATAGTTTTTACTTCACATGTGGATTCTTGTCATTGTTTTCAACTATGATCATTGAGATTGGAAAATATATATATGGCATTATTCTTCACCTGTGTCACTGTCCTTTTATATCCTATGTGTAAATGAGGATATTTGAAAGAATTTTCCTAAATCTTCAGCAGACTGAATTGACGAAGAATTACACATAGGCAGGTCACTGCAACTTCCAATTATTCAGGTGGTCATCGACCGACAGAAATCCATCCGACAGTTTTATTTTCATAAAGTTTCATTGTCACTCCCAATCCTTCATTCATCTGATCATTGTATGTCATTTATTCTGTAAGTCAGATTCCAACAGTTTTATCTTGATTGAGCTGTGTCTACCAAATCGATTCATTGGATTTGTTCACCTCAGTAATGTCTGTTTGACATATCTGCGATTGGTGAGTCTTAGAGTGTTGCATCGAAATGTCGACTTGGATTGAATGTCAATACTTCCAATGAGAGACGTGGTTTGAAGGTTGGGTATTCACTTCACCGAGTATTAAGACTCTCTTGTGCGTATTGGTCAGTTAGTGGTCTTCACAAATGAGGCGTGCGTGATATGCACGCCAGCACTTCTTTATTTATCAGGCTTATGTCTCCTATGTGTTTCATTAGTAGGTGTCGGGAGAGTCGATTTGTAATTAGTGTGTGATTTCTTATGTCATATCATTGTTAAAGCCACTTCACTTGGTGTTAAATTCAGATAATGCCGAATCGATCACTAGAACTTTAAATAAATCGCACTGACGCAAACGGTGCTGGTCGTCAATGAAGGAATCTGAGTACTCCTATCAATCAAGAGTATATATACGATCATGCGAATGGTGTCAAATGTGAAATGATTATAAGCGATAAATCGCCCTCGAAACGTCACTAGTAAATATTACTATATAACACTGTGAGACTTCCTCACAATACATTTGATCAATAATGGAATGTATATTGGTGTACATTTTTTGTCTCACGTAATCTAGTGAACACACTTGAAGATGATATCAGTGTGAAGAAATGATCAGCCGTGTTGTTCATCGTTCACCGATCATATATTCCTAAACGAGAACTGCATAGCTCTGGTGCATGAAGAGACAGATATTCACACGTGAAGAAGTTAACACAATATCGTCTTCATTCAAATGAGGTTATCTAATCAAACGTGATCTGAAATCGCACTCTCGATGAGCATATGTGTGATAGTAAATATACGTGGAGTTTGAGTTAGTCTTTCAAGGATGTCACGGTCATTTCTGTTTCACACATTAGACGTTTTGAGTGTATGTCAAACAATAATAAATACTTGTGAATTGAATGATATTGCTATCATAACTAATGCACTGGTAGCGATGACAACACGTATTACTATGAGATGATAGCCAACTGGATAGAAGACGATATCATGGCATTATCTATATTTCAATTTACAGAAAGTGAAGTGGAATACACATGAGAGAGCAATAAGTGATCAGGAAAAGAACTAAGTGTAGAAGATGCAGCATACACAGAAGGTCAAGTATTTTTTAATTGTTAGAACCATCAACAACATAACAACACAGTTAGCTGAAAATACTAAATATGACTCATTTCCACATCATCCAATCACTTGTGTAGATACGGAAATCAGTAGTTTGTCAAGGCAATAGGTCAAGTTGTACACTCACATTATTGTGTCAACACATTCTACGTACATGTGTGTGAATGAAAGATATTGAGAGAGATGCATTGAAGATATATGAAGACCTTAACGGTGGATGATGCCGTCCTATTTGAGTGGAAACATATTCTGAAATGTTTCCAGATCAAATTTCTCCGGTGTGTGTCGTATGCTATCCAAATATTTGTACGCAGCCATGGCTTGTTGTTTTGTCTTATCATCGAGACAGTGTTGCCATTCGGGTTGAAGTACGTGACCAATGCAATTCAATAAAATTCTCACTGCGCAGTTGTTGTAACTTAAGCACACTGCAGTAAATACTTGAGTGTCTAAGTCAACGGCATATCTGAGAGAGGACACATCCAATTCGGCACTACCTGCAGAAAGAATAAGAGAGGGGAACAATTCTAACTGATTTAAAATGTATATTACTCAAATCATCACCTCACGAAGTAAAATTATCACTTTAAAGTTATGCATGGCAACACTGGGAGACGAAGTCGTGTTGTTTAATTCGTATAAATAGATGTTTGGAGAGAGATGATATCAGTCTGTGTTGTTACAGTATCAAGGTTTGTTTGGTACGAACCGGTTAAAATTACCGATTAAAAATTACTTTCAAATTTCTGGTGTGTTGATGATGATAGTAATAAACTGGACTTACCTTTGACCGATGATAAGAGTACACCGTGTGAAGTAGAAGTCAAGTAGAGAAATCGACATATAACTTATCGAAGCTGTATGTAAGATGAGAATTGGAGAATTCGTTAGATGACTTTTAGGCGAGTACATAACTAAACTGATATTACAACGCACACACACACTAGTGTAGATTAGAGAACAAATTCACCACGTGAAGAAAACATTTCGAAATTATATTGGTTCATTGATATGAAAAACTGCTTGTGATTCTGGTTGACAGCCAGTGTATGTTTGTGGATTGATTCGAACAGGAGCGTAATGTCTAAGTTGGCCAGTATTATCTGTTGACGTTTGTTGTCATCTACGCCAGAAACGATGACGGATAGGCCCTAGTAGGTTCTGTATGTATTCAAACATACATATACATGAATTCGAACACGGACATTAAGGTAATATACACACATGCTTGAGCACCATCTATAATGATAACCTACTTAGCAGCTGTGTTTCATAGCTCAGCGGTCATAGCGATCCTCTGCTAAACCAAACCACTGGCTACAGGTTTGATCCCTGCAGAGATCCATATCCCCTTTTTTATCTCCAGTCATCACTCCTTACACTAACATATTCAACATATTCAAAGTGTTATTTTGCACCACTCTAACTTTGATAAAATACATTGGACTCACGATTGAAGGTCTCACGTTTTGTTAGATTCACACAGACTTCAAATTCTTTTGAGAGATCGCAGCTCATAGAAATTCCAGTAGGTGTGCATTCGTTAAAATGACACAAGAGAACTGCTGTCATCTACGGTAGCAAACACAAACATGGAATAAAATGTTTTCAAGGCAATTACAGAACATACCAGAGAGCAGATGAATATATTTACCACAGCTCCGTTCATTTTCTCCGTTTCTAAATGAAGCCAGTCGCGTAATGATAGTTTCACGTTTATATACCTGCGAACGTCATGAAACGTGAGTATATATGCCTATGTGTGATGAAATTAAGTGGGTCAAATCGGGATTTATATCTGCTGATTTCGTGAATTATTTATTTGATGAGTACTTATTGACAGGTAAGCTTACTGCTCATTGAATGGATGATAATAGATTTCGATTCCACATGATGCTTTTTGTGCACGCGTAGAATTATCCATCATTCAACAGCTTTGACATGGACACATACAGTTTACTATTTAATAGATAAACATTCTACACGATGCAATGGTGAAAATTGTCGTGCTTGTGGTCTGTGATAAAGTAGCAAGTGCAGATGAACTACAAATGGATTCGTTCTAACGAAATATGTAGAGGTAAACTGATGGGTGGGTTGTTTATGTATCACAGAATGATGATGACAATTGATCACAGGCTGTTTCATTCGAGCACAGTTCATTTCATAGATGTCGTTTGTTCGATGTTGGTTAGCAGTGGAATATATGATGAACGTTTTATCCTATCCATTACTCGATGGACGCCTTTGCATTTCAGTATTTTATAGTGTCCTATTGAAGCGATTAACAAGCTGGCGTCATCCACAGTGTGGAGTGGAATCCTTCGATGTAATCAGCTATGACAGTCATCTCTCGGATTACAATTATCCCACTTTATTCACTGAAGTTTACTCAGATGACTTTCTTTGGCTTCCAGAATTCATATGATACATTCCTCTCAGAGGAAGTTGATAATAATGCATAAAGCTTCATCTATATTTCACTGAATACATACTATTCCAATTATAATTGACGAAAACTTTACTATCGTTTGCATCACGTCTTTGATCTCCTTTAACTTGTCCTTCAGTTTTACTCAGCATTGACGAGTCATTTGTTGGAGAGAAATCTTCGTCAGGAAGCATGAAGAGATATCTCATCGAAGACCGTCACTCGTTGACATTCGACTTCTTCCGACATTCATGTCTCGGATAGAATGAAACACGCATCCTCGATTCCACCGCTTGTAATAATATTGGTCAACGCGAAGTACACAATTACTTCAGTAGTTTGTTGCCCCTTAGTTCTACCATCAGGAAGGTGAACAGGAATGTAGGTGTAATGAAAAGGGAAGTGACAAATATTGAGTTTGACAGAGGAATCTAAGGAGGAAAGTGTTGAGTGTGTTAGCCTACACTTTCAGTAAAACAGTGAGTACTTAATGAATGTCAACTTCTGATGACATGATCAGAAATTTTGACTGTAAATTTTGTTTATAAAGCAAATCAAACCAACTACGTTTACACATATTTCAGCGACAGGAGGCAGGATGCGGAAGCTTAGGTATATTTTCAAGTGATAAAACTGCTGTAAATATATATATATATATTGTCTAACCAATCACTGAGCGTTTGATTTCATTAAACGACATGAAATAGAATTTTCATATACATATCATTATAATGTTACGGAGTATTTAACTGCGGGAATAATATTCTGGCACTAGCAACAAACAGAATTTTCAGATATATATACACCGTATTCTGCTGCTGAAACCTCGCCTAGTTAACAAGCTTGCTAGTTTTCTAACCGATCCCAAGCCCGTGTAAAGAGGGAAGGTTAGGCGTGGGGCTAGCAACCCGACACCACTAAAACCAGAAAACCGCTACACAAACTTCAACACACAAAAGAAGATCCTTGAGATGCTTGTGGTGAACAGATATGTGACCGTCACCGAAAATTACATCTTCATCGATTTTCAAGTCTATGGTCATCTTGTCAACTTAAATTCAAAGCGCAGATAGGTACATTCGTAAAACCTGTATGATTTATTCATTTCAGGGAAAACACACGTGGAGTGTCTACTAAGTTATTAACTTGTGCGTGAAGTCAGTTGCATTATGCTGAGTATGTAGGAGTTTGTATGTACGTATGTACGCCTTATCCAAAATCTCCTGTAAGATTAGAACTAGCGTGAAAATTTATCCGATGAACAACGTAGTGAGAATAACATTCTGACAATATCAAGGTCCAATTGGTTCAATAAGACAAAACCATCATATGGTGGATTCACAGCGCAACAGAAGTCATGGCGGTGTTCCACATTCATGCGTCGGTGGCACAGTGGTTAGGACTCTCACCGACCATGCATATGGTCCGGGGTTCGAGCCCACGCCGACGCACATCTGATATCTATGGTCGGCCTGCAAAATTCGGGCTACCGATATCCATGCTGAAAATTCCATAATTGTACCGAAAATACAGTGTGGAATCAAGCTGTAAATCAAAAAAAAAAGAAAATAACGAAGCACTAGAAATAGGTGAGTTTTATTACTGAAACTACGGTATTCAGACAGTTTTGGAATGAGAGAATCCGCCAACAGAATAAAATAGAGAGAGAGCTGTTGGCGAGTGATACAGATGTACTTTCATACAGTCTGACGACAGAAGCATAAAAATTTCGGTAATTTGTTGGACGGCGAATTTAATCACAGAATATCATTTAAGCGAAGAAAGTAGAGCGGGTATACCCAGTGCTATCAAAATATTCTAAATCCTCCCTACTTCCACAGATCATCGCCTACTGGCATCATAAACTGTATCTACACTGTAACCGAACTATTAGCAGAGTAGAAACACTTCCTCTCTTAGCAGAAGTTCATTACCACTCATCGCCTGAAGCACAAACTATACTCACAATCTTGATGCTTCTTTCGAAACTACGATAACCAGTATAACGTGTATATAGTTGGAGAATATACAGTACGCATTGAATGCACTCAGTAGAACAAAGTTGAAGACATGATGCAACATCATCGTGAAGGTCCACGTGAACGAACATTGAAACTTAACGAAAGTGCTGCTGAATGGAACATGTGCAGCTGTCTTCGGAAAGAGAGGAGAGGCGAGGCAAGCAAAGGCTATCTTTTGATGCATACAGGCAAAAAGAATTGTGTTGGATGGTGAAGTAGAAGATGAGCCAGTGCAAAGATGGCCGGGGAAAGGAACAGTTGGTTAAGCCTACGACACACTGAATACAAATGTGAACACGGGTGGTGGAGGAGACAAAAGACAATTGAACGACTTACTGGGAACTAGGAGAGCATACCTGTTATGTGAGATAACCAGTTCGTTATTGAGAAGGAGATCTGCACATATGCATTCAAAGAAAGATAGTGACTGGAAACTGAATAAAAGAAGACAAAATCGGTAGGTGAGACACAACTTCTTCACTCTGAAATCAGTGGGAAAATCTGGTGCAATCGGCATCAGAATTAAGATTAGAATTTCCAACACTGGTGTCAGACCAGTCTGTTCTTCTATATGGTTGGGAGACTTGTCGATTCCCCGGAAGCATTTCCAGTTGGTTAGCGCAAACTTTCATCTACAGCTGACTTCACTGGCTCCACACTGAAGATCATATGGCCAGCTTTATAGGATAAGCAACAGGGAACTGTGTGATGGAAGCAGCCAATAATTTATTGCCCAACAAATATATGTGATGAAGAAAATGGAGCCAGTTTCAATAGAAGCTGTTTTATCTCTTAGTGGCTTAATTATAGTTTTGAGTGCGACATGGAGTATATCGTTTTGAGGAAAAGGTGTAGCAGATGGAGGCGATAATGTTTATCAATTGTGAATCCGCGCCAGTCACAACGGGAGAGGGGAGGATGAAATGGAGGATAGAATGTTCTCTTGCAGACCTATTTTACACTGAGAACCCTAGCGAATAACAATAATGATGGTAATGATAGTGCGTGTATAGTAACCACGTCGTCAGACATTTTCTTCGAATTA